CAACTAGAAATATCTATCAGCGATACTGGTGTAGAAAAGTTCCTAAAAAAAAAGGTGGGATGTATGACTTCAGGAATTATTTAAAATGATAAGTTTCCTACGAATTTCCAACCACAAGTTAAAGAGACATGAGCAAGATGCACAGTTAAAGTGTCCTTAGAAACTTGATTTGTGATTTTTTTAACTTGCAAATATAATATTATTTTATAGGAAATTATATATTCTATGTGATACATATTGTTTAATTTAGTATGAATATTTTTTTACATTTAATGTATTGTATATTCATTTAAAAAAAATTTTTTTTTTAGAATTATTGTAGGTAATTACACTCCGTCACAAAAAATATATATACACTCGAAAAGAAACAAACTACTATCACGCAACTTAACAAGTAAGTAGTGCAAGAGGAAATATACAAATGATTACAAAATCATTTATGTTCATTACGCTCATTTGTGTTCCTGGAACTCTCTGACCCTCCTCGATGGTAGATTATCCCTTTTTGTGACCCACTGTTGCCAGCTTCGGGCAACTACCATATTGCTCCAACTAAGGTACCAACCTGCTTCTCTGATGCCTACTATATGCCCCTTCTCAAAGTCCAGCAACTATTCATATTGCCATCGGTTACATCTCAGAGGCAGCTCTAGTAACAATACTGACCATCCAAGTCGATAGATTCATTTAAATAGCCATACGGCATGAGCAATCATGCTTTTAAACTCTTCCAGCTCTGCATGTCATATGCACAAGACACACTTACCCTTGTCTCATTGGCCTCGAAATTTAAATATTTTTTACCAGTTTGCATTCCTGGTGAGTCTTGTGAATGTGATTCAATTTCTTCATATATATATATATGCACACACAATATATATATATATATATATATATATTGATTATATTATTAATTATTATTATTAATTAGAAATTAAGAAGTTCTTCAAGTGAATCGACAGAGTATATATAAAGTTAACTTGTCAAGACATATGTTAACTTAGGTGGAAGTATATTAAGAATTTCTACACTTTCTCCTTTTTGTAAACTATTTTAAAAATTAAATTTTGTAGCTTGTATTTGGCAACATTAGAGTTCTGTTATTGTTGTTCTTAGTGAATTTTAAAAAGCAGATAAGTAATTCTTATTCAGATTAATGATTTGAGTTAATAATGAGAGCAAAATGTTAATTACACCACTAAAGAGCATGAGTATTTGAGATTATATATATTTAAGAAATTAACCGAGTAAGTTATTAAGCATATTATCTGTAATTAAAAAGTCTTGTGAATAAAGTATTCATGTTCATATTTTATATGCATACAATATATAGAGATATATTTTCAACTCCCTGATTTCGAAACTGGTGACAAAATACCTCAAATAGATTACTTCATTCATTAACTTTTATTACCTTGCTGGTATTTATTATATCAGTAATCTCCTGATAAATTTAATTTTTCATTCATAAAAAACTACTCCAATTACCTTTTTATTAATATTGTACTAATTTTCATTATAGTGAATTAAAATCTCTTAAACTAACACCAGTTAGGAATTCTCTCTCAGATAGCAAAATCCAAGCTACCATTGTTGACCCTTATATTTAGAACATACAAATCAGAACAAACACATAACCAATAAAGGTATCTTCCACCATAATCAGTATTGCATAAATAAGAAGATATTTGAATCCCTTTTCTATTAACTTTATTTTGTCTACCATAATACAGCATCAAATTTTACACAACCTCCCTTCTAACTCTTAAAAAAAAAAAAAAAAAAAAAAAAAAAAAAAAAAAAAAAAAAAAAAAAAAAAAAAAAAAAAAAAAAAAATGTACGCTGCGTCAAAAATTTTTTTGAAAGGGTTCAGATTTTAAATTACATCTAAAGGAGTGTTTCTTTAACATTTTGTCTGTTACCTTTATTTATTTAATATCCCATTCTTCACACTTAAAGCATAAAATTCAGTTCAAGAGCAATTTTGCAAAATAGTTTTAAATTGAGCATATCTTCCGATACGCAGTCTCACGCGCTGGAGATAAAAATGTTTTTCCTGTACAACGTTGCCATTGCTTGGAAATCCTTGAGTTTGCTAATCAAAAATTCATTAACATTTTACAAAATATGAAATTGATAATAAAACAAATTCCAAATTTCAAATTTGGGCTCCCACATGCCCATATTTACAGTACGATTACGTCGTTCAAAATTCGATGGCTCTATATACTGTTGTTTTATCACAATGCGAGAAATATGCATACATTTATGCAGATTTTTCATTATTTAATTTTTTCAAACATAATGCAGGACTCTAACATTTGGTGGCAACAATTTGAAAAGTGAAACGGACATTTATAGTGAACCAACACAAAACCACAAAACGAAAACGATAGTCCTTCAAGGAGAAAGCCCCTTTGGACTAAAAAGTGACAGTTCTATATCTCCTGTTCTAATGGGCCAATTGACGAAATTTAAATTGCGTTTTTTCAAGACTCGAAAGCGCGACTTACGATATCTTTTAGATTTATATGTAGCATTGTTCTAATATAAGTATTTTGACACAAAATCGGACTTTTTCTGAAATGACATACCAATTTATTTCCATATTTCGATTCTACGACTCAAATTAAACAAACTACCAAGTTTTATAAAAATCGCACAAGGTAGTTTTTAAAAAATTAGATCTCAACATTTTAGATCCTCGGTGTTAATTTGGTAAGTATTTATTAATATCTCTTTTTTTATTATGCGTATTTGATTCTTCCTTTCCCATCTATAAATTCAGGCTCATTCCAAATAAAATTCACCCATTTTTTATGATTTATTTTTAAAATTTGTATTTTTTTAACTTATTTGATTCTTCCTTTCCCATTCAGAAATTCAGGTTCATTCCAAATAAAATTCACCCCTTTTTTATGATTTATTTTTAAATAATTTTTATAAATTTTTCAAAAAAATCTTGAATTATAATCTATACAATTTTTACCATCATCTTAAAATAGATGTATTTCTTATAATACCTGCAAAAAAATTAGAGCTTTTTATTTAAAATTTTCGAATATATACATGAATTTATATATTGGTGCGTTTTGAAATTTGGCATATTCGTTGAAAGCAATAATAACACCTAATGTGTTTTACACACTTTGTTAAAAATTATTTGAAAGTACGAATGGTGTGACTTTATTTCTTCTCATACACAATTATAAAAAGGGGAAGGAAAATAGGTTCCCATAAATTAAGAAGTTCTTCAAGTGAATTATTCATGGCACAAACTGAAAAAAGTATGCCAAGATAATTTTTTTAATTTCTCCGTAAATGTCACACCAAGTTTTACAAAATTTTATATTTAGGCATAATTTAAGTCATATAATCGAAATATGGAAAAAAAACTGGTATTTTATTTCAGAAAATGTCCTATTTTGTGAATTTTATTTGAATAGAATTCAGTAGAACGGGAGATATAAAACTGTCCCCCCCCTTATTTTGAAGTGTACATAATGTTCATATCTCTATTCAATATCACATATATCTCTATTCAATATCACATTCCATGATCATTCCATTGTAATGTAACACATCCTACACATAAAATGTTGTTACAGTCAAAAGTCGTTAATCCGGACTCCTCGGGACTTCGGCGATTCCGGATTATAGATCATCAGTTTAAATCTGGAAAGATGGCATGCAGAAATTACAAAATTAAAAATATGAAACCGTAATTTATGAAATAAAGAACAATTATGATCTAAAGGGTATCAAAATTTACAAAAAGAAAAAGCTTAATATTTATTTGTTTACTTTATTAAACATTTCCTTCAATGTAAGTTGCTTCGTTTCATGTGATAATACTTTCTCTTTAATTCTATTAAACAGACATAATTTCTTGTTTAGTTACAAAGTTTCGCTGCTCAAGGTCCTATAATTGCTGTGTTGAGAATACCGACTAATTTGTCAATCGAAATGTTTTCGTTTTCAATAACCTCTGGGTCACTTTCTTCACTATTGGAAGCGAATTATAATGACGAGGAACTTGATTTAAATCATATCAAAGACGGAGTACATCGAGATGAAATACTACACTTAGTACGGAATTATAAACCAAATAAAATAAAAACATCTGCCCTGAAGATAAGGATAGTGCTGACAGATTAACTTTCAATTCGCGGTGTGAAATTGATAAACAGATTTCGGATTTTAAAACATACTTTCGCTTTGTAGATACAAATTACATATTAGTAAATATATATCGGAAATTCTATTTGACATAATCTTTCTAATCTATCATAATCTAATAATGACATTTCTGCCCCCCCCCCTCTGCCGCAGAGCAGCGTGAAATTGACGAACAGATTTCGGATTTCAAAACATACTTTCGCTTTGTAGTAAATATATATCGGAAATTCTATTTGACATAATCGAAAGTTCAAGCTTACTTTTATAAAATTGCTCTAACAGTCTGCAAAAAATAATAAGCCGGATCCAATTCGAAGATTAAGGAACAACGCAATCTGCAACATTAACCGAATTAGATAACTTTAGCTTAGCGTATAACCTTCGTTACACAATTAAACAAGCGCTTTTTTTTTTTATGCGCACAAACAAATATTCGCAGCCGTAAGGGTCTTACGCGCTCTCGTAAACGCCTGTGCGCATGCGTGAACGCGACGCATGCGCAGAAAGCTTGTAGCTTTGAGGTCCGGATTATGGGTGTCCGAATTAACGACTTTTGACTATATTTGAAAATTTAAAAAAAATTTACAGTAGTTTTTTTTTTTTTTTTTTTTTTATCCTTTAAAATTATGAAACACTGTAATTATAAGAGCATTTTTTCAAATACTTCTAGAAACATCTTTTATTCACAAATAAAAGATCATTAGATATGAAGAAACATACTGATAAAGAAAAATGTACAATATTAATCAGTGCAGACTTAAGTAATAATAAGAAGCTTTTATAGCAAAATATAACTAAAAAATAATGCTAACAAAATTTACCAAAATTGATTCTTTTCAGTATCAGTGGATAGAAATCTTGTACGGTTTTATTATCTGGTTCATACTGCAAAACTGATAAAGGAAGAAAAATTAATATTAGATATATATATATAGTGAATATAAATAAATATACTATTATGAAAAAATATTAAAACACAAGGAACAATATACATTTTTAAGATATTTTAGTTCAAGCCGTTGTCTTAAAATCTTAAAAGTTTTCCTTAATGGTTCAAAAAGTAATTATTTTAAACAATTTCACTACCCACCTTCATATTTTTGCCTTTATATGCCTAATTTTTAGCTTACACATTTGAATTGGCTTTATTTGCCGACATGGATGATGGAAGATAAAGCATTGTAAATACTACAAATTCCTCCTTTTGTGCATTAATGTTTCCAAATAAGATCTTTATTTGTAATATATTAATTTTTATAGCAAAAGAGGGGACAAAAGTCAGCTCACTAGCCAAATGAGACTGAATTGCTTTATCTGGTACATTATAAAAGCCCGAGCAATGACATTTTCATCTCTTCTACCAATTCTGTGTGCAAACATTGAAATTAGAATCATGTGTATAATATATTACAGTGCATATATGCATGACTATACCAGCACTCAACCTAATAGAGAACGTTAGAAAGCATGTGCAACTGCCAAAGAATATAATCCTGTCCTTTTTAGCAGCTTTAATTTAGAAAACAAAAAATGATGAAATATGAATATTGTTGAGATAAAAAGGAGCTTGGGCCAAGAACATTAACATTTCACCCCTAAACTTTTACTTAAAAATGAAACAGTATACCTGTCAGTTACATGATGATCAAATAAGAACAAATCCCATTTTTTGCCCATTTGTCATTTTTCTGCTTTCCTCCCCCCCCAGCATGTCTTAGAAACAATATGAGCACCATGAAATATTGCCATGTCCTTCCCTGCATGATGCACTAAAAAAGACACTTCGGGCCTGCAGTTAAAAGATTTTACCTGCCCCTTACTTAATGAATTAAAAAGATAAATACCTTATTCTCGATTTTTCTAGTTTTTTATTCATGATACTCTATTTTCTAGTTAAAGTAAAAGATGTAATAAGCACTTTCTGCATTCCTATTTGTACTTTGTGCTCTAAAGGCAATCAAAAATGGCATTCTTTCTTTGATTTGGTTTATGACAGTTCAAGTTAGCATCCTTGGATTCGAATTCATTTTGTATGGTGAAATTGTGGTCATTTTTATAAAATTTTTAGGAGGGGAGTGTTAAGGAATCCATAAAAGCTAATTTTGCTGTGCCACTTGGTACTCTTCCGTACATTCAGAAATATTGCTAAGTTGACTATGTGACATGCAAAGCACCAGGACCTCATTAATTGATTTGGTTAATTAAAATTATTGTCCTTTTTTACTTCCCTGTACGAAGCAAAAAGAAAGTAATGTCACTGCGAAAAATTTCGGGTATCATATTTCAACGAAAATATCGACTTGACCGCTATCCAATGCAATTTAATGATGTTTTTGTGTGACATTCGCAAGTATGGACAGAATAAAGGACTCTTTTACCCCCCAAAAATTATAAAACTCATTTAAAATGAATTCTGAAGAGAATTTTTCGTGGTGTCTGTGCGTACGTATGTACGTACGTACCTCGCATAACACAAAAACGAATAGGCTCAGAATGTTGAAATTTTGTATGTAAGACTGCTATAACATGTAGATGCGCACCTCGTATTTTGGTTGCAATCGGTCACACCAAAAGTATATAAATATATGTATTTATATATATCCACTCTGTTACTCGGCTGAGCTCAGTTTCTTTATTCTTATGTGTGAAATTGTGCATTTTTTGCTTTAAATGATTGAATTATGTGTCTTATTTTCAATTAAGGTTTTATAACCTATAGTAAATTTGCATACAATAGTTTGGAGTTCCACAATTTAAGTTGTTTAAGTGAGCTAAGTCTAATGAATTTGCGATGGCGGACATGTTTGTTTACATTTCAAACTTGAAAAAGCAGATTTTGCCAATCTAGAGAAACTAAGCTTCGCAAAAACACAAAGCGATTAAATGCTTCTTTTATTCTGCGGAATTACATCAGGAAATAAGTGTTTCAGATTTTCTTCATGATTTTTATTATAGATATTGAGTTTTTATGTATTTTGCCTGTCAAGAAGTGAGAACAGGAATTAATTGAATGAGAAATACTGAATCGTCGTGAAAAACTGTTCTTTTTTATTTTATTTGCTTAATTTCTTTTAACATTGTTTAGAGTATTATAGTATTTGAATAGATTACATGGTTTGAGTTTATAATATGACGAAATGTAAAATGTAATGAACCTAGCGCCAGCCAGTCGCTATGGCAAACACATATAGTGAATTTTAAAAAGTGCATTTTTCTATTGTGGTTATGCGCTATCGATGATGTAGATTTAATTCAATCCAATTTTAAATGAAATGCAAGAAAAAATGCATATAATTTAATATTCTATGCAAGGAAGTCGTGTGGTGTACACATCAGATTATTTGATACTTTTCCGTTTTGCCGGCGCAGGCAATAAAGTCACCAATAATAGTACAACTGATGCTAAACGGAATATTCTTGCTGGTAACCTTTTGCACCTCATTTTTAAAACAAATTGCAGCCATTTTTTATCAGATTGATTGTTTCTTTCAATACCGGCATACAATTACATAGAATTTTTACCAGATAGTTCAATTTTATGCGCTAAGCCCACTTGCGGTAATTAAGTCAATTAAGATGTCATCACACCGCTCACCTGGAAGCGAAAATATAGAAAAGGCAAAGTCAAGGGTTAAATTCCTCAATTCTAATGAGAATGCACTAGTGAAATAAAGCACTGCGGTTTTACATAAGTTATTCGTATGAATTGAAGTAATTCTTGCATTTAAAACTTGTATTCCAAAATTGAATTTTTAGACTACTGAGAGAATTAGATTTTTGTAGCGTAGTTTACATGAGATGAGATCGCTTGGGGCACGAGATACGAAACGGCAAATCAGGATGTTGAACTAGGCATAGTAAATTCTTAAACTAATGTTATTTTACAAATTTATTATCTTTATTTATTGGCTTTTTACAAAATTTTAAACAATATTGAAATGTTTATGCCTTCAAAATTAAAAATTCTTAGAACAAAAACATTTGTTAACATTTTTTATGTGTATACTGTATGTTGTCGCCAATAAAGTCTGCTTGGCGAGATTTGCGCTGGCAAAACGGAAAAGTACTGATTTTTTATATATGTTGCCATTAGTATGTCCAGTACATATAAAAATTAAACATCATACATATTAAAGTAATAAACTAGAAAATGAAAATTTCATATAAAATGTGACACTTACTTAGCTTGCAATAATATAAGACTTTTATAGTCACGAGACATAAGCGTTGACAAAAACTAAAATAACAGCATACAATAAATATTTTAAAATAAAATTGGAAAAAAAAAATATCAGACACTTCATATACATTATCATCACTTCATTCTTATTGGACATTTCATTTTCATTGCTTTCAAATAGTAAATTTTATATAAGTCTAGATATATATATAGTTTTACACAGTGAAGATAACTTATCTTAACAATAACACAAAAAAAAAAACAAAAAAAAAAAAAAAAAAAAAAAAAAAAAAACAAATAATTGCATACAACTGTATTTCAATAACTTTACCTCAGCTAAAATTTCAACAGGAGCACCATAAGATTCATCATCAGAATATGCATCTTCATTTAAATTATACTTGGATAATGTGGAGCTCAGTTCACTAGTCTTGAACAAACTATTTGATAAAAAAGAAAAAATCAACAAAATGCTACTAGCAAACCCACTTAATAATACTTTTATGAAGCAACAGGAGTATAATAAAAAAGGGGGAAGGAAAAAGAAGGTAACTTCTCATAACAGTTTTCAAAAGAGTGTAGCAGAGGTATTTAGTTATATAAGTAACCTTAAGGAGTGAGAAAGATTAATATAAAACACACAGAACAGGTATAAATACATTGCATCTGAAAATGATGTTAAATATGAGCAAGTTTAAAATTTTCACTTTTAATTCAATAATTTATTGTGAAACATAAGATTCCAAAATATAATCAGTTCTTATATAGTTTGCTGTTGACCATTTCTGACAAATGAAAACTGTTGCCAAAGACTGCAATTTAGTGCCAATAATGGACAAGTGTGACATCACAATACATTTCTAATATCTTTGTTTTGGTTTTTATGTAACTCTCATCTTCAATCAGCCTGTTAGTTTTTGTAAAAAAGGTTTAACTGTATTTCTCTGTTTTCCTCTAGCATTTTGAGAAAAAAATATTAAAAACTGCAACCTACTTTTTGCAGAACAGCAAGCAATGGAATATTTTTACAAAGTACAGTACTAGAGAAAATACCAGAACACTAAGAACTGAGAAGCATGAGAGGTGTGGGTACAGATCCTGAAAACGTCGGCAAGTAAAACGATGGAGAGACCCCCCCCCCCAACAAAATGCCATCACGTATATAGAACTCTCTATAGTGAGTGACTTTTCTTCCGTCGCAAGACATCTTCACAAGCTGATAGACAGCAAGATAAGGTTTTTGTGAACAAAAGAATGCAAGCATACATGTAACAACCTGAAGGAAGTTTCACATCTGCTCCAGTCCTGACATATCCTCAATTCGGCAAACCATTTATTCTCGACACAGATGCGAGCAATGAAAGTATCGGTGCTGCATTTCTAATCCAAAGGACAAATCCCAAGAAATAAACAGCACCCAGCATGTCATGGGCTACTGGAGCAAGTGCCTATTTAAACCAGAGAAGAATGACTGTGTCACAAGGAAAGAGTTCCTCGCCATAATTAAAGCCATAGAACATTTAAATCACCCCCCCCCCACGCAGAGCAGTATGAAATTGATAAACAGATTTCGGAATGGTTAGAGAAACAAAGAAGCCTTTATCCATTTTTTGCAGAATTCCACTTTTGTTTGATGGACATCGAAAATGCTTTCTCTTTGTAGATCCGCATCAGAATTCTATTTGTCATAATCGAAGTTCCAACTTACTTTTATAAAATTGCTCTAACAGTTTCAAAAAAAAAAGCCGGATCCAATTTGAAGATTAAGGAACTGCATCTGCCAACAAACATTAACTGAATTAGATAATTTTAGCTACTATACTCCTATACATTAAAGTGCATACGCAAACTATTATGCGCATGTATATAGGTATTACGTGCATGCAGTCAACATTAATATGTTGACAAATGTGCAGAAGTTGTAGCTTCGAGTCCGGATATAGATCATCCCGAATTATGGGTGTCCGGATTAACACTTTTGACTGTATTATGAACCATAGGACGCAGAAAAAATGATGTTCAATTTGATTTCTGTTTCCTCGGTTTGGCCGAAATGTATGCATGATGCATGAATACCCACTCCAATGATGAAATAGCTTGTGTTTTCATGCTGAAAGAGCGATTATTATATTTAGATTTATTATACATAGCATTTTTTCTAATTAGTATGACAACAAAATAAGCCTTTTTCTGAAATGAAATGTGAATTTTTTTTTCTTATTTCAATTCTGCAACTCAAACTATACCTAAATACCAAATTTTGTAAAATTTGATGAGAAACTTATATGGAGAAATTCGATAATTTATCTTAGTACAGTTTTTTCAATTTGGCCAAGAATAATTCACTTGATGAAATACTTACTTTATGGTAAGTTATTTCACTTTCCCTTTCCCTTTCATTGTGCATGACCGGGGAAAAAGTGCATCGTTTATTCTTCCAAATATTTTTTAATCATAGTTGTCCTTTTTAGATAATTTTTCTTTTTTAGAATTTCATTTTAATTGTTTAAGTGGCATGGTTAAATTAAATTTCTTCAATTACTTATTTTGAAATTTTCTATTTATTCTTTTGTATACTTTAAGTATTTCTATGAATTTTATATAGTATTCATAATATTGTATATTTTAAGTATATCTATGAATATAAATTTTCAAGAATTTGATTTTATTTAATTGAATTGAATTTTTTTCAAAAGAATAATTTATGACTAAAATACAATGAACTTGAAAACTATATATATTGAAAGAAAATACAGTAAAGTACAGTTAACACACCTGGTCAATGTGCCATTAAAAAAAAAACCGGTACTTTTCCGTTTTGCCGGCGCAAGCGATAAAGTCGCCAATAATGGTTCAACCGATGCCAAACTGAATATTCTCGCTGGTAACCTTTTACGCCTCATTTTCAAAACAAGTCGCAGCTTTTTCTTATCAGATTGATTGTTTCTTTCAATGCTGGCATATTATTACATAGAATTTTTATCAGATAGTTCAGTTTTATGTCTAAGGCCATTTTTGGTAATTAAGTCAATTGGGATGCAATCACAACGCTTACCCGAAGCCGAATATATAGAAAAGGAAAGTCAAGGGTTCATCAATTCTAATGAGAATGCATTAGTGAAGTTAAGCACTGCAGTTTAACATAATTTCTGAGTAAGCTATTCGTACGCATTGAAATATTTCTTGCATTTAAACTTGTGTTCCAAATTAAGATTTAACTTGAAATTAATGTAGATAATTACTGAGAGCATTAGATTTTTCTTGAGTAGTTTACGTGTGATGAGATCGCTTGGTGTCACGTGATATGAACCTGCGAATTAGTATGTTGAACCATAAAAGCATAGTAAATTCTTAAATTAATGTCTTTTTACAAATTTATTGGCTTTTTATAAAGTTTTAAACGATATTAAAATGTTTATGCCTTCAAAAAGAGAATTCTTAGAACTAAAATTTTTTAAATATTTTTTATGTGTATATTGTTTGTTGTCGCCAATAAAGTCTGCTTGGCGAGATTTGCGCCGGCGAAACGGAAAAGTACCAAAAAAACACATAAATGAGAAAGATGGATAACTGACTTTTTAATTTAGAATCAGTTGCATACATTACTTTACACAATTTTATCATCATGCCATTGATTTACACAATTTTATCATCCTACTTTTAGTTGCTTAAAATATTATTCATATTTTAGTCAAATATTTTATTTTTAAAACTGCAAGAATCAGACTGCATAAAATTTTTCATGCAAAAAAATTATTTCCTTTATATTGTTTTTCTTCAGGCATTCTGAAATTATATTACAAATCATCCATCTTTTCTTTTTCACTGTATACCACAAACATTTTTAAAACATCTTAGCATTTTCAACATTCATCTCAGTAAAGTATTCCCATCATTAGAATTTGGTCATATAAAATAGAGAAGGTACTTTTACTATCACATTGAATGTATTTATAGGTGATGCATTTTGACGGCATGAGATGAAAGACGTTGATGAAATCATTAACACTGAAAACATTTTTAGCTTATATCCACATACTTTTTTGGATAAATTCTTAAATCTTTAACAAATTCCTAAGATGTTTTTGGATATGATATAACATTCTATGACGTAAGTTATATTTAAACAGCACTTCAGTGAAAAACATTTGCCTTTTGGATTTACCCAGGATGTTATTTATTATGAATTTTTGTTAATATAGAACCTTTTTACTGGAATATTTGTAAATAAAAAATTTTTTCAAATATTTACAAATATTTTCCCAACAGTCAAAATCACAGCAATCACATATTACAGTCAAAAGTCATTAATTCGGACACCTATAATCCGGAATGATCTATAATCCGGACCTCAAAGCTACGAACTTTCTGCGGTGCGTAAGACCTTTACGGCTGTGAATACGCGTGTGCCAAATACGTTTACAAATGCACATTTAATGTATAACGGACGGTATAAGCTAAGCTAAAATTATCTAATTCAGTTAATGTTGCAGATTGTGTTGTTCCTTAATCTTCGAATTGGATTCGGCTTATTATTTTTTGCAGACTGTTAGAGCAATTTTATAAAAGTAAGCTTGAACTTTCGATTATGTCAAATAGAATTTCTAATATATATTTATTAATGCATATCAGTTAATGTTGCAGATTGCGTTGTTCCTTAATCTTCGAATTGGATTCGGCTTATTATTTTTTGCAGACTGTTAGAGCAATTTTATAAAAGTAAGCTTGAACTTTCGATTACGTCAAATAGAATTTCTAATACATATTTACTAATGTGTAAAGGATCCGCAAAGCAAAAGTATGTTTCGAAGTCCATTAAACAAAAACTGGAATTGCTGCAAAAAATGGATAATTCATATCCTTTGTTTATCTTTAAGTGCGCGCCGCGCAATGAATTGGAAGTTGATCTGTCAGCATGATCCTTATCTTCAGGGCAGATGTTTTTATTTTATTTGGCTTATAATTCCTCACTAAATGTAGTATTTCATCTCGATGTACTCTGTCTTTGATATGATTTAAATCAAATTCCTCGTCATTATAATTCGCTTCCGACAGCGAAGAAAGTGACAGAGGTTATTGAAAACGAAAAAATTTCGATTGACAAATTAGTCGGCATTCTCGACACAGCAATTATAGGACTTGAACATCAGAACTTTGTAACTGAACAAGAAATTATGTCTGTTTATAGAATTAAAGAGAATGTATTATCACATAAAAAACGAAGCAACTTAAACAACTTACTTTGAAAGAAATGTTTAATAAAGTAAACAAATAAATATTAAGCTTTTTTTTTTTTTTTTTGTAAATTTTGATACCCTTTAGATCATAATTGTTCTTTATTTCATAAATTACGGTTTCATATTTTTAATTTTACAATTTCTGCATGCCATCTTACCAGATTTAAACTGATGATCTATAATCCGGAATCGCCGAAGTCCCG